TCTGGAATGGCATAGGGTTTCCTGCCTGAGCAGGGGGTTGGACTAGATGACCTCCAAGGTCCCTTCCAACTGTATTATTCTATGTTCTTGTTCTGGGAAACTCCCAGAATCTCTCAGCCACCACATGTGGACCACAACTCCAGAATCCCTCAGCCACTATACGTGGACTTCAACTCCCAGAATTCTTCAGTCACCATGTGTCAAACCCAGAAGTTCATCAGGGACAGCCTTGGCCATGCTCAAACCAGGATGTCCTGGTTTATTTGCCAGTCAGAGGATCTGGGAAGCTTTTAGGAAAGATGGATGGGAAGATGGGGAGAGAAGGCCCAGGGAAAAATTCATATCTCCAGGAATGAGTGGCAGAAAAGATGACGCCAAGGCTACGGTTCCTGAGCAAAGGGACCATTCTAGGCATGATTCAACTCCGTGTGGTGGAGGGTATGGTCAAAAAAGTCAAGATGGAGGTCAAGATGGGGCAACGGTCCAAATTTTGTCATGTGCATTGCACATGTCATCATGGAGCGTTGATCGTGGTCACCGTTTGGCTTTGTACGTACTCAAATTAGACATGTATCTAAGCGCCTCTCGCTTTGTAGGTACTCAGATCAGACTTTTTTTTTTTTTTAGCGTTTTAATGGTTTTTATTGTTTTCAAACGATTTGAAGATTTTAATTGTGTTTTTGAATTGTGAACTGCCCAGAGTCGTTTGCTGACATGGGCAGCTATAAACATCGAATTAAATCCCATCCCATCAAATAAAACCAAATCAATCAACTTGGACGCCCTTGACAGTGCTCAACGAACACCCTTGATTCAATTTCTCGCCTTTCAGCAAGAATCCTCGGCCACAAAGCCTCTACAGTCCTGCATTCATTCTCAACATTTGGCATCTAACATCAGAAACATCTGCCAGGCTGTCCCACCTCCTTTACACACGGACGATCTGAAGCTGTATGGAAAAACACCGCCTGAAACGGAATCGCTGCTCAACACTATCCATATACACAGCCAAGATATTGCAATGGCGTTTGGACTGGACAAATAATAATAATAATAGTAAAGTTGGAAGGGACCTTGAAGGTCATCTAGTCCAACCCCCTGCTCAGGCAGGAAACCCTATACCACTTCAGACAAATGGCTGTCCAGTCTCTTCTTAAAAACTTCCAGCATTGGAGCATTCACCGCTTCTGGAGGCAGGTGGTTCCACTGGCTAATTGTCCTCACTGTCAGGAAGTTTCTCCTTCGTTCTAGGCTGCTTCTCTCCTTGATCAGTTTCCATCTGTTGTTTCTTGTCCTGCCTTCAGGCGCTTTGGAAAATAGCTTGACTCCCTCTTCTTTGGGGCAGCCCCTGAGATATTGGAACACTGCTATCCTGTCCCCCCTCGTCCTTCTCTTCGTTAAACTAGACATACCCAATTCCATCAAACCGTTCTTCATAAGTTTTAGCCTCCAGTCCCCTGATCATCTTTGTTGCTCTTCTCTGCACTCTTTCTAGAGTCCCAACATCTTTTTTACATAGCGGTGACCAAAACTGGATGCAGTATTCCAAGTGTGGCCTTACCAAGGCATTGTAAAGTGGTATTAACACTTCACGTGATCTTGATTCTGTTAATGCAGCCCAGCACTGTGTTGGCTTTTTTGGCAGCTGCAGCACACTCCTGGCTCCTATTTAAGTGATTGTCCACTAGGACTCCAAGATCCCTCTCACAGTTACTACTATTGAGCAAGGTACCCCCTATACTATACCTGTACATTTGGTTTTTCTTGCCTAAATGTAGAACCTTACTTTTTTCACCATTGAATTTCATTTTGTTAGATAGTGCCCAGTGTTCAAGTCTGTCCAGATCCTTCTGTATCTTAAGCCTGTCTTCTGGAGTGTTGGCTATTCCAACACTCCAGATGCGCCATGCTTAAAATCATCAGGGAAAAATAGTGAAAATTGAAAGAACCAAGACCCCCTACGGAAGTAACATCAAGGATCTGGTCTGGATGAAATGATCATAGTTGTACCTGGGCATCCTTCAAGCTGGCTACATCAAGCACGCTGAAGTCAAGAAAGAGCTCAGAAGTGAAAACATCAAGAGAGTGAAGTAGCAATTAATACTTAGGAAATTCCACTCATTAGATAACACAGCTGGAATAGTGGCCTGGACTCAAGCAGGGCTAAAAGCAACGGATAGGAAGAGCAGAAAAATAATGACAGTGAATCAATCATCCTTCATCCTTCGCAGCCACGTTGACAGACTCTACCTACCAAGGCAAATAGGTGGGCGTGAAACGTTGCAAGTACATCAGATGGTTGAAAAAGGAAAAAAAAAAGCTTTGGAAGAATATTTGAAGGACAGTGAAGAAGATGCATTGAGGTTAGTATATCCGGAAGGTTTACTGAGTACTGGAGAGAACAAACTGGCCTACAAGAGCGATCAAACGAAGAACAGAAAGGATGCGTGGGAAGGCGAAGCATTATATGGGCAATACACTAAAAAAAAGTAACAGATAAAGCAGATAATAACAAGACCTGGCAATGGCTAAGAGCAGGAAAGTTGAAGAGACAGAGAGGTTAATTCTGGCTACGCAAGACCAAGCCGTAAGAACAAAGGTATACAAAGCCAGAATTGAGAAGACAGCAACAAACAGCAAGTGCTGCGTCTGAAGAGAAGTCAAAGAAACGGGGACCACCTGGAGAGCAGCTGCAAGAAGATCACCCAGTCTGACCATGTACAACGGCACGACAAAGTAGCAACAATGGTGCACTGGAAGATCTGCAAGAAAAATACCCTTTGCCTGCAAGCAAGAATTGGTGGCACCATATAATATAATTGGTGGCACTATTCTATATTCTATTCTGTTCTGTTCTGTTCTGTTCTGTTCTGTTCTGTTCTGTTCTGCTCTGCTCTGCTCTGCTCTGCTCTACTGTTCTGTTCTGTTCTACTCTACTCTACTCTACTCTACTCTACTCTACTCTACTCTACTCTACTCTACTCTACTCTACTCCATTCCATATTTTCTATTCTATTCTATTCTATTCTATTCTATTCTATTCTATTCTATTCTATTCTATTCTATGTCTGTCCCAGGTCTTGGTTAAGATTGGGTCTATTTCATCTTTAATATGAACTTTAAAAAAACCCCAAGGAATAATAGAATAGAATAGAGCTGGAAGGGACCTTGGAGGTCTTCTAGTCCAGCTCCCCGCTCAAGCAGGAGAACCTACACCATCTCAGACAGGTGACTGTCTAGTCTCTTCTTTAAAATCTCCAGTGATGGAGCGCCCACGATGTCTGCTGGCCAGCTGTTCCACTGGTTAATTGTCCTCACTGTCAGGAAGTTAACAGCATTTAGTCCGTGTCCAGATGGTGCTCAGGTCTAGTCAGGTTCACTGCAAAGTGTCAACAACACCACCAAGCATTCATGGAAACCTGGAGACAGTATTGACAAATCGCCAGATTCCCCCCCACGGAAAGGCTGGGCTTTGGTTACTCTGGTGCCAAGATGCCACCGGTCATGTCCAAAAAAAGAAGCACAAATATTTTTTTAAAATTACTTTCCTAGTCGCAAGTGTTTAAAAATAGGGTTGGATGTTATGGTACGCGGTGGTGCCTTCGTATTTTTAGCCACGTTGCCTTGTGGTGAGACGGATGGCCAATACTTTTTTAAAAAATAAAGACATCTAATAAAGGAGAATATGTTTTGGTCACTGCGATGTAAAAAAGATGTGGAGACTCTAGAAAGAGCGCAGATAAGAGCCACAAAGACGATCAGGGGACTGGAGGCTAAAGCATATAAGGAACGGTTGCTGGAATTGGGGATGTCTAGTTTAAGGAAGAGAAGGACGAGGGGGGACAGGATAGCAGTCTTCCAGTATCTCAGGGGCTGCCCCAAAGAAGAGGGAGTCAAGCTATTCTCCAAAGCCCCTGAAGGCAGGACAAGAAGCAACGGGTGGAAACTCATCAAGGAGAGAAGCAACCTGGAACTAAGGAGAAACTTCCTGACAGTGAGAACAATTAACCAGCCAGCATGAGGGAACTATGGCCCCTTCTTAAAAACTATAGATAGATAGATAGATAGATAGATAGATAGATAGATAGATAGATAGATAGATAGATAGATAGATAGATAGATAGATAGATAGATAGATAGATAGATAGATAGATAGATAGATAGATAGATAGATATAGATGGATGGATGGATGGATAGGTAGAGATAGATAGATAGATAGATAGATAGATAGATAGATAGATAGATAGATAGATGAGAGATAGATAGATAGATGAGAGATAGATAGATAGATAGATAGATAGATAGATAGATAGAGAGAGAGAGAGAGAGAGAGAGAGAGAGAGAGAGAGAGAGAGAGACAGACAGACAGACAGACAGACAGACAGACAGACAGACAGACAGACAGACAGACAGTTACAATAACCCTCCCCCTGAGTAGCAACAGGTTGTGGGGAGATAGACCAGGATATCATCCATTCCTTCCCCACCAAAAAAATCTTTCTCTCCTCGGCCGAATGAAACCAAAATGAAACAGTCAATCTTCAAGACAGGTGAGAAGGTGCCCATTATACTGACTGATTGATTGATTCAGAACACTGGCATGGCTGCCAATCTTGCTCCCAATAGTCCTAGCTGACCCCCAACTTCATTCACAAAATCAAAATAAACAAAACCCAGAAAAACCCACAACGACATCACATACCGTACCACAGCGCCACCACATCCCCTCAGTCACACATTTGTGTGTTCACTTCCCCCCTAACCCAGTTCCTGAGTGAAAAATCCAGGTCTTTATGGTCTTCTGGAAGGCGAAGAGGGTGTGTGTGGAGGGGGGCTTTAAATCTTGGGGAGACGCTATCCAAAGATTGGCCACCACAGAAAACGTGGCCCCACCAGGTGGCCATGTTTGACAGAAGGAACCTGAAGTTCTCCCACCCCACCTGAGCTGGTGGAACAAGCAGATACCCTCACCCATAGCAGGGATAAGAAAACAGCTCACCTGTCCGAAGTTCCACGGGACGGAGACAATGTAGTCCTTCGATCCTTGGTAGATCAGGCCTTGTTGAGTCAACACATACTCAACCCGGTCCTCTTTGCTCTCCATGTAGGTGGAGTCCTCTGGCGAAAAAGAGGAAGCTCAGATGCAGGAGGCAGTTTTGGGACGGAGAGAAGCCCTGACATAGGAGAACTTCTGCAGAACATCTGTGTCCACCTTCCCCCGGGGGGCCTGGTCTTCCAGAACATGGGCCACCCACCCAGAATATTGGCCATCCTTGAGCAGGGGGCTGGACTAGAAGACCTCCAAGGTCCCTTCCAGCTCTACTCTATTCTATTCTATTCTATTCTATTCTATTCTATTCTATTCTATTCTACAATCTATTCTATTCTATTCTATAATCTTTTATTTCTATTCTATTCTATTCTACAATCTGTTATTTCTATTCTATTCTATTCTACAGTCTTCTGTTCTGTTCTATTCTATTCTATTCTACAATCTGTTATTTCTATTCTATTCTACAATCTGTTATTTCTATTCTATTCTACAATCTGTTATTTCTATTCTATTTTATTCTACAATATGTTATTTCTATTCTATTCTATTCTATTCTATTCTACAATCTTCTATTCTATTCTATTCTATTCTATTCTATACTATACTATTCTACAATCTGTTATTTCTATTCTATTCTATTCTACAATCTGTTATTTCTATTCTATTCTATTCTATTCTACAATCTGTTATTTCTATTCTATTCTATTCTATTCTACAATCTGTTATTTCTATTCTATTCTATTCTATTCTATTCTATTCTATAATCTGTTATTTCTATTCTATTCTATTCTATTCTATTCTATTCTATTCTATTCTATTCTATTCTATTCTAGCAAAGCCCTCCAAAATCAAGAGGACATCTGCTTGATGCAAAATCTGATCCTGTATTTCACCCCCAGAAACTCCCAGCCACCTGAGCACAGCCAACCTGGCGAAACCACCTTGAAGCAAAGAATGAACAAAGATAGATGGCTTCTCCTGAAAAAAAACAGACCGGGCTTCATTCTTTGCTGTCAGCAAAAGACAGAGCTTTCCTCTTATCAGCAGCAAAGAAAAGCTTCAGGAAGGTGAGGATAATGGGAATTGATTAGTTTATCAGCAGTCCCCTTGAAGCAAAACGTGTGTTGTTGGTTTGTTGGTTTGTTGGTTTGCGTTTGAAAAAAATGTTATGTTTTCAAGGTTGATTGAGATCATCCCTCGAGGTTCTCCATGACGTTCAGTTGGACTGCAGCTGTCCTTGGACAAGGGGGCAATTTGTAGCTTTCAGCTGGGCCCCAGGAGGTAAAGATGACCTCCAGGGGTGTCCACGGAGCAGGTCAAAAAAGTCAAGATGGCAGCTTAAATGGGTGCCATTGAAACTCTGATGGTGGAGTCTCCATCACACCCTTGTGGCTTCCAGCTTGACTTGTTTGACAATGTCCTTCAGATCCTTCCGTGATGTTAGCCACCAAGAAGAGATGGATTTCTGGTCCTGAGCCAGGATGGAGGGTGGCTGAGAGGCTACCTAGGAAAATTTCTCAGGAACCCCAAAATATGAGGGGGTTCTTCCAGAAACCTGGTCAAGGAACTAGGAGCTGCAGGTAACCTTCAACGTACGGCCACCACTGGCCCAGAATTTCCACCGTAAGCAAGGCAGCTGTAGAAGTGCGTCATGCCCAATTTTATGACCCATTTTTTGCCACAATTCTTAAGCGAACCACTGCAGTCGTTAAGTGAATCACACCGTCGGTAAGTGAATCCGGGCTTCCCCCACTGACCTCGCTTGTCGGAAGAAGAGACTGGACAGCCCTTTGTCCGAAATGGTCTAGGGTTTCCTGCCTGAGCAGGGGGTTGGACTAGATGACCTCCAAGGTCCCTTCCAACTTTATTATTATTATTATTATTATTATTATTATTATTATTATTATTATTATTATTATTATTATTATTAGGCAGCTGGGATGGTCACAAATGGCGATCACACGACCCAGGACGCTGCGACGGTCCTAAACACTTGCTGGTTGTCAAGCATCCAAATTGTGATCAAACGATTGTGGGGACCCAGGGAAGGCTGTAAGTGTGAGGATCCATTATAAGTCTTCTTCTTTTTTTTTTCAGGGCACTGTCACTTTTGGACGGTCACTAAAGGAACAGTCGTAAATTGAGGACTACCTGTATTCGTGTCTTTCTGACCCGAACTCTCATTTTGTATCCGTTCCATGCCTCTGGGCCGAGCTCCAGGCCTTCCTTGCCTAGCACTGCTCCGGCAATTAAGGCTTTTCCTTAATTAATTAATGAGCTGCAGACCGAAAAGTGAAGTGGTTCCATCCCTCCCCAGCTGTGATGCAAGGAATGGAAAACGCCCTGCGCCTCCCTGGGCAACAGGGAAGATTCAATAACATTTTCCAGTTGTGCTCTGGGTGAGTTTTCCTAAGCCCTGTGAGTTGATTGGGGGGGGGGGAGATGTTGGGAGTGTTTCTGATTAGTAAACTGGATAAATTTTAAAATAAAATTAACAGGGAACTGTTTTCTAGTTTGGTAGTGAAGCCTCTGCAAGAAAACCACAAAGCTCAGAGAGCATCAAGGACTACAGAGTCGTCGTCGTTGTCCTCCTCCTCCTCCTCCTCCTCCTTCTCCTAGCACTGAAGATGTTCCCTAGTTGGGTCATGAAACGTCTGCAAGAAAACCACCCAGCTCAGAGAGCACCAAAGACCCTACAATCCTCCTCCTCCTCCTCCTCCTCCTCCTCCACCACCACTTTGCAATCCTCTTCCTTTCTAGCGCTGATGATATTCCCTAGTTGGGTCATGAAACGTCTGCAAGAAAATCACCAAGCTCAGAGAGCATCAAGGACCTCACAATCCTTCCTCCTCCTCCTCCATTCTGCAATCCCCCTCTTTCCTAGCACTGATGATATTCCCTAGTTGGGTCATGAAACGTCTGCAAGAAAACAACCAAGCTGAGAGACCACCAAGGACGCCACAGTCCTCCTCCTCCTCCTCCTCCTCCTCCTCCTTTCTGCCAATTCCCCTCCCTTCTGGCACCGATGATGTTCCCTAGTTGGGTCTTGACCCCGTCATTAACGTCTCCTCCCAAAAAACTCTGCCATTCCCAAAACTGCCCCCTCCCACGGGGAGGCCTCTTCCTGCCCTCTGCCCGGGGGAGAGCAGCAGAAGATCTTGGAAGCCCATCCGGCCTTGTGGGATCCTCCAAGCCCCCACCCCCCTGCCAAGCGGGGCTTCCTCTTCCCTTGATCTGGCGGGTCTTCAGCACAAAGCCTGGTGGAGTCCAGGAAACCGGGACAGGGGTCAGCCAGGGAACAGGAGGTCCTGGAGTGACCTCAGTGAGGTCACCGGAGTCATGGAACAGCCCTGGAAGCCTTCCAGCCCAAGATTCAATAAGTCTCCTCCATTCCCACTCAGGCTGGTTGGTGCTCCTGGGTCTTCTGAATCAGAGAATGACGATGTTGATGGAGCCTCGGAGGTCTTCTAGTCCAACCCCTCTGGACTTGAATAGAATAGAGCTGGAAGGGACCTTGGAGGTCTTATAGAATGGAATAGAATAGAATAGAATAGAATAGAATAGAATAGAATAGAATAGAATAGAATAGAATTACAAAGACTAGACTAGATTAGACTAGACTGGAACAGAACAGAAGAGAATGAAAGAATAGAATAGAATAGGATAGAATAGAATAGAAGATAGCATGGAATGGAATGGAATGGAATGGAATAGATAGAATAGAATAGAATAGAATGGAATGGAATGGAATGGAATGGAATGGAATAGATAGAATAGAATAGAATAGAATAGAATAGAATAGAATAGAATAGAATAGAATAGAATGGAATGGAATGGAATGGAATGGAATGGAATAGAATAGAATCTCAGACAAGTGTCCTAGTCTCTTCTTAAAAACCTCCAGTGATGGAGCACCCACAATTTCTGGTGGCAAGCTGTTCCACTGGTTGATTGTCCTCACTGTCAGGAAGTTTCTCCTTAGTTCCAGGTTGCTTCTCTCTTTGTCTTTGACTTCACCTATGTCTCTGTGTATTTATTTATGTATCTATTTTTCTCATTTCTGAACTACTTTATTTATTTATTTATTTATTTTATTTGATTTATATCCCGCCCTTCTCCCAACGGGACTCAGGGCGGCTCACAACATATTAAAAAACATAAACACGTTTACAACCCCACCGAAATAAAAACCAATTAAAACCGAATATTTAAAGTTGTGCTATTTAAAAATTACTCCTAAGATAAACCCGATTTAAAATCCTCCCTAGGCCAGGCCCGCTTGCTGGAAAAGCCATGTCTTGAGGGCGCGGCGGAAGGTTAGGAGATCCGGGATTGTCCGGATCTCGGGGGGTAGTTCGTTCCAGAGGGTGGGGGCACCCACAGAGAAGGCCCTCCCCCTGGGGGTCGCCAGCCGACATTGCTTGGCCGACGGCACCCTGAGGAGACCCACTCTGTGGGAGCGTACCGGTCTGTGGGAGGGAATCTGTGGCAGAAGGTGGTCTCGGAGATATCCAGGTCCAATGCCATGGAGCGCTTTAAAGGTGGTAACTAACACCTTAAAGCGCACCCGGAAGGCCACTGGCAACCAGTGCAGCTCGCGCAGCAGCGGTGTTACGTGGGAGCGACGAGTCCCTCCCCACACCGCCCGCGCGGCCGCTTTCTGGACCAGTTGAAGCCTCCGGGTACTCCTCTCCCTGTAAGCGGGACAATAAATGTTTAAAAACTAATCAAGGAGAGAAGCAACCTAGAACTAAGGAGAAACTTCCTGACAGTTAAGAACAATTAACCAGTGGAACCACCTGCCTCCAGAAGTGGTGAATGCTCCAACACTGGAGGTTTTTAAGAAGAGACTGGACAGCCATTTGTCTGCAATGGTATAGGGTTACCTGCCTGAGCAGGGGGTTGGACTAGATGACCTCCAAGGTCCCTTCCAACTTTATTATTATTATTATTATTATTATTATTATTATTATTATTATTATTATTATTATTATTATTATTATTATTGTTATTATTGTTATTATTGGTCATCGCACAGTCAGCCAGCTGTTCAGACTGGATCTGG